ATAATTTACTGCATAATAAACCACAAACAGAACAACTCTATGAAATAAGTGCTTGGAATAATATAACATTAAGAGGGGAAAATACCCTAAGTGGGGCGAGAGTATCCAGATTTACCAGTCTGTTCTCCAAGACATCCCTAATGCTGTACCTATGCTCACTTCAGTCATAATTCCTTTCCTTTTCTATGCATGGTCACACTTTTGGAGCTGACTAGATACCTTGTTTTTCTTTGTTGATTTATCACTAAAGAGTGGTTCCTGCAAAGCTAATATTTTAAGTTAATGGTTTTTTTTAAACAACTGAATTATATGGAAATTATAGCAAGGTGATTTTAAATTAAAAGATGCAAGAGACACCAATGCAAATATAATTATTGGAAGTAGCTAAATATTTCCCTATGACTCCCATTATGACTTCCTGTTTCTAATTGTTAGCCTGTGCCTGAATTTTCATCTTCTATAATCACAAACACTCTACCCTTGGCATTCCAATGCTCATTTGGTCTTTGCTCTCTGATGGTCATTATCTGGCCATTGTCTCAGGAAATACCCATTGGAATAACATTCCTAAACTTTACTGATAGGAGTCTCTTGAACACTGTCGTACTTGTGAAGTGATTTTATGGCTAGATCTAAGAACCATTAGTTTACACTCACATTTCCTCTTACCATTTGCCATTTCAATTTCTCCTTTCTTAAAGCATCACTTTTGAAGTCTGATGCCTCAGTATCTAGCATCTAGCACTCTTAATGAAATAGTTGTTTTATTGATTTAGCTTTCTTTTCTCACCTGAATTTTCTCTTTGAGGATTTTACCCACACCTTATCTTTAGGTTCTCGGCACATGTTTGACTTCTGTTTATTCTTCTTTTCTCCTCTTTTATTATTTCTCTCTTACTTCTTCCTTCCCTTTCATCCTCCCTTCCTCTCTTCCTTTTTCATGCCCTGCCTCCCTTCCTCACTTTTTCACTTTCTCCCTTGTCTCCTATTTTTGACTTTTCTTCCTTTAAACTTTTATTTCTTTAGACAAATTCTACCATCCTCAAGGTATTCTCTAATTTCTTTGAATTAAATCTTCACTGAAAATTTTATTCCTTCTATTTGAGCTATATTAGACAGCTCTTCACTATTCTAGCCCTGGTTTAAATTATGCTGCATTGTTGGTAATTTTAGTGCATTCGCTTTCGATCTTCGATAAGCTTCTAGAAGCTTTGGCCGTTAATCTTCTATCCTGTTCTTTTTAAATGTTTGTATATTTTCTCTTTCTCATTTTTTTGTGAGGATTATAGTAAGAGAAATGATATTTAATCGGTTTATTTTCTCAACATGTATCTTTGACTTGGTGATTTACAGGATTTTCTACTGAACACATTTAGTAGGCTTTTGTTTCTTATGTGTGATGCAAACATTGACTTACACTAGGTGCTATGTTTCATTTTGTAACAAATGGTTACCTGAAACTCAGAGATTTTAATTTTTACTTATTACTTCCCCTTTATTGTTTCATCAAATTTGCATATTGTTTACTATTTTTGACTCTACCTTAACAAAAGGATAATATCTCTATATGTGTTCTAAAATCTTTGAAGATAAATTGTCAAGATTGCATTTTCAGTCATCTAGGATTAAATATTTATCCAGTATGGCAGTGGTATTTTTTCCTCGTGTGGACAGATCCTATTTAAGGAGTTTTTTATCGGCAGAGCTCTATAGACACATGCAAAGTTCCGTGCTCTTCCAAGGCTGGTCTGTGAGGTTGCTGCTGGGCTCCAGTTGTCAGTCTCTGATTGGCACTATGCTGCTCTACCAGAAAGAGCTTTAGGGGATTTGCTAAAATGTGGTTGCAAAGACGCTGATTATTGTTCTTTCAATCTTGAGGATTTTGACTGTTCTTGACTTTTAACTATCTCACGTCTGTAAACAAATAAATCATTGTCCTCTTTAAAATGTCATTAATCAAAGAGTATTTTTCTCTGTTTGAGACAGGGTGTTGCTATAAAAATCACAACCTTCCTCTTGAGTATTCACACGGTACCACTGAGGTTCACCCCCAGCTTCTTCACTTTCCACTAAGCGCTCTAACTTTAAGACTGTGATGAACTGACTGGTCATGGTGGCTTAGCTTTTAACCACAGACTTCAGGAGGCAGAAGAGACAAGGAAGAAATAGAATCAGAGGCAAAAGCAGAAGCAGAGGCAGAGGCAAATCTCTGTGAGTTACTGCTCTGCCAGGGCAACATATTGAGATGCTATCTCAAGAACAAAATATACACAAGTCTAAATCAGCACGTTATTATTGATGACTTGTATGAGAATTCCTTCTATTTAACCACCCACAATTTAATGTAAAGTGCCAGCAACATAGAAATCCCAAAGTGAAAATTCAGAATAAGCATGACAAGTGTCCTACCACGGCTAGCTATGATATACAATAATTATTTTAAATGAAAGTAAATAGATCATGGGATGAATCTGATAATCTCTCTTGGGCTATGCGTGTAGACAGAAAGACAGTTAGTTGACTGCTACTCACATGAGAACAGGGTGTATGCTTTCTTCAGTCTTCGATGACTGACATGAGGTTTGCCACATCAGTAATAAGTCTCCATCTGAATTACAGATGTCTGTGCCTGTTCAGACAGGCATAGCATCAGAAATTACCAATTAAGTAGTCAGAGAAGTGGGAATGGAGACACTGGACCATATCGAAGGGTTTGTTGCATAATTCTAGACTTTGTACTGTCTAACATACTGCTTGAGAATAAATTCGCAGAACAGTGATTGAAATGGTAAAGGATTTAGGAATTTTGGGGGTGAGGAATTTTATTCTGAAGAGAGAATGATTTATGGAAGATGTGACATTTATCTTTACAGACAATTCGGCTATAGAGTTCTTATAGCTATCAAAAAACCCTACATAAATACAAGGACAAAATTCCAAAAATATAGTTACTAGGTTAGAATTACAGACCCATGGTGCATATCTAAGGAAAATAGTTCACAGCTACAAGTGAGGACTAAGGCAGAGGATAAAGGAGGACTAAGGCAGAGGCCAGGAGATGATGGTGAGAAAAACCTTAAGCTGGCCATGCCGTATTCTGTGATGAGTCTTTCAGCAGAATATGGGTGCAGAGAAGGCAAGATAAGAAGCTGGTGTTAAAGGTTGCCATCATCCACTTGTGTGACACTGTGCAGTGAAATATATTTGATGGTCTAATGAAGCCAGGAAATGCTATTCTATTATTTTGAAGCATACGAAATAGAGAAAAGGGGCAATACTGTGCTATCCTAGATAGTATAGAAAATAATCTCAATCAGCTCACATAGTTGAATTTATTCCAAGTTTGATAACCATAGTTTAGCAGGTACCAGAATTGAACCTAGAATATAATACTTCCCAAGCAGTCTAACACACAGTGGGTAGCATTTGCTAAGGAATGATCTGACTAACACCTGTCATTGTTGAGAGACTTTCACTGGCTTCTAACTGGCCTGAGAACAGAAGAAGCCAGTGTCCATTAAATCTAATTTTCAGAACTCCCTCCCCCTAAATTCAACACCATTGAAGAAGTAGGCATAAACCGTACACTGAAAAGCCAGGAAACAGAAAGGTTAATAGCAGCAGAAGAGACCTCTCCTCATGTAGAGGAGGCTTGCTCTCCGAATGAAGTGTGGTGTTCTCAGGAGAGATAGAAATGCCTTAATCAAAGATCTTCAGGGTAGTGCTCCGGAATGGGACAGAAGGCAGTACTTACACTAGCAGCATTTTACTGGAAAATATTGCTTCTATATAAAAATTTAAGGAACATATTTAGGACTTTAGACTGCTTTTTTCTATTTGAATCTCTAGTCTTAATCTCAATAGATTTGTTCTCCTTTTCACAAACCACCACACATCAATCAAAAAATTATCTGGAGACAAATCAATAGTTTAAAACTTAAAGATTTTTCTCTTTATTTATTTCCTGATCTTTCCGCAAACATTTTGTGTTTGCCCCCTCTGTTTTCCTAACAGGCCAATTCCAAATTCTCCAACTCGACTTTTCACTGTGTTTCTCTAAACTCACCAAGCACTAAAGAGATCATACCACTGTTTCCAAAAGTTAGAATGGTCCCTGTTCCTGCATCCATGGATAACAGGATGATGTTGCAAGGACACATTCATCATTGTGTGTGCCAAACAGAAGAAAACTGCCTGCTGTTTAAAAAAGTCCGAACTACTTGGAAACCATGGTGGTACTTGATGACGAGCACATTTCTACGGAGAGTGGTGCCTATTCAAACACAGATGGAGTGGGGACTTCCTGACCACTGAGGCCTTCCCATTGGTTTGCTCACCAATATGACTTTAGATGAAATGTACAATAAACACTAAAATCCTTTTAATTATTCCACATTATAGCCATCAATTCTGAAAATGTCATTTGTCTGTTTGAACGTCAGCTGCTGAGTTTTTGTTATTAAATGTTCACAAGTTTCTTTAACTCATAAATTGCTATCATTTAAATCAGAGTGCTAGAGCATTGGTTTGGTGTTTGGTAGACAACAAAGTCCTGTCTCATTTGTACATATTTAGAGGACATGAAGTGCACTCTGTTAGCACAGGCATCCGACAGGGCCAACCTGTATAGCATACAATGTGTACAGAGTATGCATCCAATAGAGGATGCAATAGGTCAATAGAAAAATTAGATATGACTTGAATTTTTGTTCACTCATAATAATTGCCTGCTTCTAAAATAATTTTATCCAGTTAAAATAGTTTTTTGGATACAAGATCTCCCTGCCACCACTCTCTGAAAGTTTGCTAGAATTATAAGTTTTCCTTCTTAAGCAGTGTTAAAATCGGATGCACAAATAATTACCATTTATACCAAAAATTTACCTCAATCTTTCCAAAGGAATATTTGGACTTCTTTGATATGATACAAAAATCAAATTAAAATCACGACTTCTAAATAAATTTTCTTTATTTGCAATGGATACCATAGCCATTCTATTTTATCCTTTAAATGATATTACCAGAAAGTACAAATTTAAAAACAAAATGATATTTTCTAAATAAAACACCAGAAAGAAAAGTCACTTAAAAGCTGTACAAGGTTTTTACAGTTTGTGTTTGTGTAATGATAAACAAGTAGAATTTATTTCTGACTTAAAAATACAGCTAAGTGTTAGATTAAAACCAAACCATAATTTAAAGGAAAGAGTCAAGTCAGCCCAATGATGTTTTACATCAGTTGGAAAGTTCGAGTTTTAAGGAAAATCTGGAGTTTTTATTGTTCACATGCCCAGTGCAGGAGACCTCCCCTTACTATAGTGACCAAGAAATGAAGACAACTTGGCAAGATAATTAAATGGATGATAACAAAATCTCAGCAGGGATGTGCTCATTAATTAAATTTATGTGGGAGCAAGTATAACCAAATTATCAAATTTTCACTCACATTAAAAAGTGATAGTCTATAGCAGCTAATTACTGGGAATTAAAGGCCAGTAGTTTGAACCAATCACACAGAAGTAAACAAAATTACAAGCATCAAAGGACTGTCATGGTAATTGACAGCATCCGAGGAATTCCATTCATCCCATTCATCATCTGGCTGTGTGAAAATACTTCAGTGAGACTTGCCAAAGAAAAGACACCAGTGTTTCTGAAGCTTCAACTCTTGTAAGGTTGGGGTAGTTGCCCCATTGTCTGTCTTCTTTCTGAATGTTTATATGCATGTCAGGCTGACTATACCAACCAGTGAAATCATTACTGTTGGAAGTACAGGTAGAGAATTTGAAGATAGGCATCCCACATGGGTAACAGAATAACACTGTGCACTTTGACTCCTTAGAAATTCTTTTAAAGTTTGTGTTGCTATTATTTTTTCCTTTCCTATGTGTCAAATGTCTTCACTAAAGTATGTGCTGGATCAACTTTTAGATTTAAAATGAATTACATAATTTCTGCTTTGAGCTAAAAATGTCTCTAAATTGGATATTTGTGATGATTCAGAAAATTATATTCCAAATGACATAAATGGTAGTGTTCAAATTTATTAGATATTTATAGCAAACTAGATTTTATCCACATTCAACATTACATGTTATTTAATGACATTTTAACTATTAAATCTGGCATCTCCACATTTTGAAAGCAACATAAATCTTTTGATGAATGTTGGCAAAATTATAGAGAAACAAAATGCCAAACAAGTTTATTTTGCCTTGACGTCTTTCTGAGTTCTCACAGTCCCGTACTTGTTTTGTTGCTATTTAATTTCAATTAAGAGAATCTGAATTAATAATGCTAAAATATTTCTTTAATTTAGTATTTTTTTTACCCACACCCCAGGGAAATTATCTTCTAGATAAATACAATCAAACACAATAGGTAAAACTGAATAAAAATGCCAAATGTTTGTTTTTATTTAAAACTATATTTCAGCTTTGCAGACAGTTAATACAAGACATCATTTTATGTTCTGGAAGCCAGAGTTTGTAAAAACAAACCCCACTAGCTGCTCACACTGTTTCCCAATCCCTTAGCCACACCCTAGAGGGCAGGCCCCAAAACCGATTGCTTTGTTTGCCTTCAGTTCCAGAAGACAATCAGGCTGTGGTCTATTTTCTAAAATATTCCCCTAAATGAACACTGAGCAGAAACTGTCCTGTCAAAAAGTAGACACTAGAGAAATGTAGTATGTTTTCATAACAAGATAGAAACAGAACAACCACTGAGACGTCACGGGATGAAGGAATTAATGACCATGAAAGTCGCCATTCACAATTTATATGCTGTCGCTTCTGTTTCTGATCACACCGTTTGCTTAATACAGTGCAAGTCAGTCTGATGACTAAAGAGTGCTTCAGCTGCTACCCAGCTCTTCTCATTCGTTTGCAGGGGCAGCTCAAAGTCTAAAGCGTGATCAGCTCAGTCAACAATGCCGAGTAGACTACTCTGGATGTTGCAGACTTTGCTTATGACAGAGACGGTATGTTAAGTGGAACAATTCTTAACATTTTATTGATATTTAGTACTTTGGAGTAGAAGCTATAATCATATAAGTTTCTTGAAGTAGATTTTTATCTTTTAGTGTTAGGTCAATATCTTTCTTAGCACTTGCAAATTCTCTTGAAGGAGAGCACTTTTTAAATGTATCCTCATCTAACCACTCTGTATTATGAGCAGAGATAGCTTACTTCATGAAATATTTCACCTTTATTTCTCTTTTCCGGTAGATTTTTCCCCTGGTGAGCAACGTAAGAGCTTGTGTTTTTAAGTAAAAGCAATGGGCGCCATGTTTATATGGTGCCTTGGGGAAGGGTATTTAAAATCACACAGGTAATGGGATTTCTAAGCTAGTGGCACTGAAGTTTTTGGAGTCTCATTTGAAAGGAGACCTGCTTTTCAGAACACAGCTATGTTTTCTGCAGTTGCCTAGATGTCTTCCAAACCCAGACCGTTCTAGAAAAATGACTCTGAGACACTCTTGTTTCTTTTGTTTTAGAATTCTTTTTTGGAAAAACAAAAGACAAAACAACAACAAACATTTTAGCTTTTTAATGACAAAGACCATGTCTCTTAGCAGTTGTCTAATTGTCATTATCCAGATTACCTTTATTCCCCCAGGGACCACTGACGTGGTCGAGATAGATACACAAAGTCCTTCCCATCAAGTAGTATACAAGTGTTTTCTTTTGTATAATAAGCTTTCAATTCTTGAAAAAGGGTAGCTGGAAAGAAAGGTTTTTGTTACTTCAGTTAGTCAGAGAAAGTCCTTTGCGTTATCTTACAAACTATCAAAATTGCTAGTCATCTGAAAAAAGGTAAAAAAAAATCACATAACTTTAGTCTAATAGAAATATAGTACAGATAAGAGAGAAATCATTTTATCAGGATGTGCTCTTTAAGTCCATCTCATCTTTAATATAAATGTACATCTGATTACATATACAAACATTTGGAAAGGTCTGTGGTATACTGATATTACTGGTAAACAACAGGGTTTCAGAGTTTCCTGTGGTCTTAGATAATTCATCTGAAATTGCACATGTGTGAAAGATGAACCCTCCAGCTGTTGACTGCCCTAGCTTCTGCACCTATGTTGTCCTCTACTGAGATCTCATGAGGAAATTCAGGTGAACCTCCGTGAGAAAGAGAAGCAGTGTGAAGGGGACTGAACTTGATCTTGAATTAGTAGTAGTAAACATTTTGCCATGCAACATGAGTAAATCAATTAACTGAGGACTGTAATCAGAGCGGTACTATTGGGGCATCCTTACACCCTGAAAACTGTGGCACTTCACCTGACCTAAAGGGACAAACTTCAGAGTAACAAACCCGCAGCAAATTATAGATCTGCAGCTAACACGTGTCCAATTAGAGTGTATTTCTATAAATTACTTCTATGGGTATGAAAAGAACATTAAACTCAAAGGAAATTTTCTGGGACTCATATCAGTGAGTATTCACCTCTGTACCTATAGTTTCTCCATAGACTTTAATAACTATTCCCTCTATTATCGAAACTACTGCAAATTATTTTATTGTAATTACTTTTGCCCCTTATAAAATCTTCTTTAGGTTCTGCCAATTGATGGAGGAAGTTCCTATTAAAAACTCCAATGGGATGAGAAGAATTTTAATTACGTCTTAATCAGCAGCACAGCCACCAAGCATATAAATTATCATGCACATCGTGCTAAAAATATCCAGTCTCCTTGATCCCCACGACTTAGTACTGACAGCACTTATGTGATAATGTTGTACCTGCCAGTCTGTAGACTTCTTTGTTTTACTGGCAATATTCAGCATGAGCCTTTGCTATGTCATTAACAGCATCGGTGCTCTGTGTACTTATGCAAATATGGTCTACACAATAAAAGGGCTCCAAATGAAAACTGACGAAAATTATCTGACATTCCATTGGTGTGTCCCTTGTGCATATTCATAGTTGATTTTCGTTTCTTTTCCTTTTTTTTTTTTTTTTTTTTTTTTTTTTTTTTTTTTTTTTTTTTTTTTTAGGTATTTCAGACACAGTACTTTCCTGTTTGGTGTTCCACATGCCTAACTCCAGTATGTAACTTAAATCTTCAACAAATTAATTCTTGAATGTGAATGAAAAAGTATCATTCAGAACAATTGCTTCAAGCAATTGAAATTTGTTTTTTTAAAGTTGATTTGTGTGTATATCTATATACAATTCATTTCTCAAAACCCCCAAAGTTCTTGATATGTATATTCACATAATATTCCTCCTTAATTAAATAGTGAGAGTCTTCCAAGTTGAAAGCCAAGGAATCTTCAATAATCTTTACTGCACTCCATCAGAAAAAAAAGCAGTTTGTCTCTCTCATCTGGCTATACCCTGGTTGTTGAATGTGAATGGGGGTGGGGGTGGGGATGGGGCAGTGTATTGTTCTGTCCTCCAGTAAATGTGTTGAATGTGTGTAAGGGCTGAATCCCTGGTATAGTGTTGGGAATCATTGTGATAGTGTTTGGTGTCATTAAAGGAACATCATCAGGTGACCTCCTCATTGCTAGGGTATAATCTGGGGGGCAGGCGGTCCGAAGAACCACCTCGTGTGGATGGATGGACTCACACTCATGATCCAAGTCAGTGTGCTTCATTTGAAGGGACATGATTTCCTCTTCTGGAGCATGGGTCAGGTCGTTGGTGGCTGTGCGCTGAGGGCTACACCTCCGGTGGACATCGTGTCTCCGCTTATCCTTCTTGTAGTACAGGGCAGCGAAAGCCAAGATGTTCAGAAACAGCAGAGACGCCCCCACGGCGATGGTGACACTCAGCTCTGTGGAGTAGTCCCTCTGATCCACTGAGAAGGGACTCGGTTGCTGTTTGGGATCTTCCTGTTTGGCAGTAGGAAAAGCTGACGTGACAGGTGTGGAATTTTTCCTGGTCGGTCTGAGAGTGATGTCTGTGGATGGCACTTTCGTTGTTGTCGAGGTATACTGAGAAATGTCATTGAGATTATGCAGATGCGGTACCAGCTCCAACCAGAGATTTACCTTATTGGCTCTGTAATGCTCTTTGACTCTTGGTTTTAAGCCAATGTGGAGATAAAGTTGGTCTTTCTGGGAATATCTGGTCCATGCTACTTCTTCAAAGCGGTTGGGCTTGGTATGAATGAATTTTGTATCTTGAGGAACTGGTTGATTTGGATCACTAGGAAAAGGGGTGGAAAGACAAGAAAGAATCTATGAGGACACACATGTTTTACTCTTTTTCTTAGTCAAAATATTATGTTTAATGTTTAATTGAAGAGATATCTCAGCAAAATATTAGATTATGTTCTAATATTTACTTGCCACTTGCCCCAATTTAGCAATTTAAGTAAAAGAGTTTCACATTCGTTTTCCCTGTTTATTTCGAGATTACCATCTAGTCAAAAGGTTCATAAGAAAATACTCAGCCGTCTATGGGTTTGCTGGACAAACCTGCCCGCGTCAGTTCAATCCCCGGAATCAGTGGACAGGAAGAAGGAAAGAACAAACTCCACAAAAGTTGTCCTCTAACATCCATAAGTACAGCACAGCACTTCTTCCCATGAGCACATACATGTGCACAGACACACACACACACACGCACACTAATCATATTAAGCAAAAGTTTAAAAGATTTGGTATTCACATAGCATGTTTGACTTTTCTTAGAAATAGTGCAACCAAAACAGCATTGCAGTGAAGAGTGAATTCAGGGTTTGGGACTGGCATATGAAGATATCGACATCAACACACTGCTTACCAACCCTGCAAAGGAGTATGTATATTAAGCTGCCAGAACCTCAGGTTCCTTTCTATGTTAAGTGAGAACCATTGAATCCAAGATGAATAAAATATTATGTATTCATAAAGTATTATGCGTACACTATTATGAACTGGTAGGTACTAGGACATAATGTTTGTCACTGCTGAAAACTGTATTTCTATGACCAATGTAAGTGAGAAGTCAAAGTAATGTTGTCATAGAGCAATAAAATAAAGATACAAGTCTTTCTTAATATACTTTTAAGATCCAAAAGTAGTAAGGCAATAACTTCAAAACACTACAATACAAAAGTAATTTTTAATATGGGGTTAAATCCTCTATGGTGATGGAGTATGTGTTCTAGCATGTGAAAGGTCCTGGTTTCAATCCCTGGAATCATAAAACAAAGAAACAAACATACAAAGAAAAATATTTTAGACAATTTAAGCACATATATACATTGTTCAAAAATATTTCAAAGGTCATTTGCTATTATAATTATAACTAAGTTATAATTTGTCTTGATTTGTCTGATACATACCCCGTTTTAGCAAAATTCGTCCAATATGTCATTACTACTGCACTCAGCATCACATCATTCTTGGAGAAATTGCAAGGAAATAACTCTGTCGGGCCAACCATGGGGATCCCCAGCACATAGGGAACCTCGTCTCCATGAGCTGCATCAGCCCAAGCTGGAACTTGATCTGTTTGGCAATGATGATAGAAGGCATAGAAGTACGTAGGTGAACCAAAGTTTGAGTGAAGGTCTGCTGTAGCCACAGCAGGTGCTACCCACTGATGGTCTGTAAACAACGCCAACAACGTCTTCCTTCTGGTTTCGGGGTTATGACGATCAGCCCAGTCAGTATACATGAATTTTATGGTTTCTCTCAAAACATCTTTCCCTTCAGGATAGCCATATAAATTATCAACAAAATTAGAAACAGCAAAGTCAAAATCACTGGCTGATATACCATCATCACTATCTACTATATTTTCAACAAACTTCAACCCTTCCCCTTGGTTAACTCCTAACATGATGTCATAGTTGAGGAACTCTCCTTGTTCCATGAGTATCTGAGGATCATCTGGAATCACATCACCATCGATCACAGGTCCAAAGGCTATGTGGTATCGGGCTGGTTGTACATCTTGATCGACAAGTTCTTTGTAAGGCTTCTTCTGTAGGCATTCCACTAACTCCACTGTATCTGACACATTGCAGCCGACCTTTGTGGCTAACATTCGAGCATATTTTGCAGGCTGGAAACTAACAGCCCAGCTGGAAAGGGCTGTTCCACTCTGAGCTATTGCTCGTTGAAAAAGTCCTATGGGGAAATCAACAAGAGTTTTGCGTGATTATTGAATAATGCTATGGTTCCAAAGTAACATCTGATATTTAAGACATGTATATAATATCCCAAGTACAACTGAAAACACAGATACTTTATGTCTGAGAGAAGGTACATAAAGCTATCCCCAGGGTATAAAGTACCAGTGAAGTGGGCCTAGGTCTTATAGTTCCAACAGAATTTTCTTTGGGTTTCAAAATTTTTGCATTCTCAAAGACAAAGTAAGGAGAAGAGGTGAAGTTAGAAAATATGGGTATTTCAAGGATTCAAATATTTTACTTAATGAGTAATAGAGACAATCATCAACACTGACAGAATAAATCCATTTCTACACTTTGCCTTCTCATCAGGCTGTATTGTCTGTTTGAAATTTTTCTTTTAATTTGGATGCATATCCAGCTTCACTCAAAATGGCTGTGTTATGCTTTTTTACTAGATTACATATGAAAAAATTATTGTTTGGGACTCACACAGAAATTAAGACTTGAGACTTGTCAATACCCTGGGGATGTCACTGATAGTCACACAAAACAGAATATAACTTATGACATACTATTTCTAGATCTCTCTGACAGATACCATACAATGAATATTCATCTTTCTGAAGAAGATAACCTAAGCAGTGCCTTCACTAAGTTAGAAGAAAAACATCAGCAGGAATAGTGTGAAGGAGGTAATTAAACTTTTTCTACTCTTGAATGTGTGCTGTTGTTTTTATTAGAAAACATGGCACATACATGGACCAGTTTGTTTTTGTTTTACTTGATTCCTTTAACGGCTATAAATTATGGCTGCACGTGCAGTAAGAGATGTATGATATTAAAATTTACAAATATACTTGATTCACTGGAGTATTCGCTAATAGAATTTGTAAAAGTATATAGGTTATCTATTTTATTTACAAATTCATGTTTACTATTCACTTCCAGGTTTGGCTAAGTTTTCATTCACTTAAAAACCATGCTCAATTATTCATACATGTTAATGAGAAAACAGTTCTTTACAGAAAATGTGGAAGTCTTGTGTGAATAGGTTCCAGAGCTCTCTCCATACATGCTGATGTATTTGCGTATGTTATTAATGTGATTTTTAGATACTTTTAAAAATGTTCAAAAGGGCAAACAATACTGAATTATTTTTGGTTTCTTGAATACATTTTGCTTTGATAGGGCAAAGTTTACCAGAGTAAATTATAGATATTTCAGCAACGTGGCAAATGGAGGGTCTGTTGATATTTGAGCAGAGACGCATTTTACTAATAAAATATTTATGACTAAAATAAAGGTGATCATTTAAAAATAGTATTCTTTCTATCTCAGGCACTTGGTGACATTAAATATATCAAATGTTATTTATCATATTATGTTAAGTATCACTTGAAACTTGGTGACTAGATGATTCCAGGATAGCTATTGGTTTTAGCATTGGTGAGAAGGCTTTGTTAAGTATATGTGAGATTTTGGGGACTCCTGGAAGCAGCAGGCCTGAGAAGTACGGAAACCTTCACTGGATTTATAGCCTCAAAATTCCAGGTCTGCCTTGTGGGTAGAGACAATCTGAGAATTTCAGGGAATTTTCCATGGCCGTCCTGGTAGGATCAGGCAGCTCTTGGGAGGGGTTTTGAAGAAGATCAAAGTCAAGTCTGTCTCCAATGAGAAACAGATATATTTCCCTAAGGAGTGTGGTGGAAGGTGACTCTCAGCTGCTTGTGAACCATGTCCTACTACTGCTCACTGTCCGCCAAGTGATGAGCACCTGCTAAATTGATTTGTTTCCTTATCCAGTGCTCTTGTGATACTGGCTGACACTGGTTTTAGGCCCACATTTGATCACATGATCCCAAGAGTTCTGTGTAAGTTCCCAGTGTTAACTTTGCTAAGTAGTAGCACTCATTTCATACTAAGAATAGGAGAATCTAATCTGCTTAATTCAAAGCTCTACCTTTATCACTTCAAAATAAGCAATTTTATTATAGAGCAGCATGTCTACTCAATTAAAACTGTTACATCTTTTTCATTGTGTTCCTTGAAACCAGAATCCTACCATTGTTAAATGAGATGCCATGTAAACCATGGCAATATGGTATATCAAAGTGACATAATTACAAAGGATCGGTTGTTGTCTTAGAATTTCAAATGTTTCTTTGACAACTAAAAATGTGTTCTGAGCACATACTGACTGTTCTTGGGGCTGGAGAGACAGCTCGTGGTCAGGAGGGTGTAATACTCTATGCTCGTCCTGAGGCAGAGCTCAGTGCCCAGCACCTTTCTCTGATGGCTTGCAACCCCCTGTGGCTCTTAATGCTGGAGATTCTGATGACTGTGGCCTCTGTGGGCAGTGGCATTTACATGTGTATGCCACCCCTTCACACACGTGCACACAATTACACGCTACAAAAGCAAATATTTTATTTTCGGAAGCTGAGATTCTCTATGAGTTTCACTTGACGATGACTAACTTGTTTTCCTCACGCACACAATAACAACGAGGATGCAGACATCAAAGACGCCTCTGGTGATGACTATTCTGCTTTCTCCTTTGTTATGTATAAATAACAGATAGAAAGTATTTGCTTTGTGAGCTCTTGTGTTCTTACATTTAATAATGCAATTGTAACCCAGTCAATAATGGGACTGTAATGAGCCACTGAATGCCTGGTAAGATGGCAGTCACTTAAGAGAAAGTGCTCAAAGCCAGAAAATGGAAATCAACACATTTTGTGGACTAAAGAAGGCTCGTGCTCCACGCCACTTTGCCAGGCTCTGGGAGGAAAAAACAAACTTGAGTGGAAAATAGAAAAACCACAAAACTAGATGTGTTTTTCTTTGTAGTCAAAGGCTCTATTAGTGACCTCAACGCTTTGACAATTTTGGATCACGCATGCAAACTAATCAAATATCTATTCTTTCCTTAGGCAACAAGAAGAACCACATTTCCAGACAAACTAGATTTGCCTGCCTCATTAGTTCCATGCCAGTCAAGAGCTGCAAGCACCAATGTTTGAAATACTTGATTTTGATTACGGATAAATGGAGAGGACAGAGTGTTGAGCGTTTCCCTCAGATCATCCTTTGACAGAAAGGAAAATGCCTGTGATGCTAAGAACACTAAGACTTGGAAGAACACATTCCCCAGCTCCATGGAATACAGAAAAGAGCCTGACAGAAATGTTAACATGCACAGAAAGGCTAAAAACACAGCTTTAAGTAGTTACTAAGCCCAAGCTAACACTCAGTTGAAACAGAGAAGTATCTACAGAGCATCATGTAGTTCTGATGGAGGTGGCATGCAGACACCAAAATTGTCAAAATTTGCAACCTGCATAATACCTTTGGTTGAATTGCTCCAACGGTTACCTTCAGAATAATGGGATAAAGTCAGCAGGTTGACACATGAGCCCCCAGCGCCTGATCCAAACACAGTAATTCGCAAGGGATCACCACCAAAGAACCCAATGTTCTCGCTAGTCCATCTTAGGGCCTGGATGAGGTCGAGGAGCCCGTAGTTTCCTTTGGCAGCCTGATCCCCTGTGCTCAAGAAACCTGGAAAACAGAAGAAGAAAGAAACCTTAGGACAATTTCTTCCGTTAATATGAATTAAACACACAACAAGTTCAAGTTTGTATGAGGCTTGTCCTGATTTCCACTAAGCCAAATGCTTTAGTGAAAGTGTTTCCATTCAGAGAAAAATCAATAATTTTAAGAAGAACAGTAATGACTGAAACCTCGAAAGTGATGTACATCTTCCCTCAATGCTTCCCAGCTTCTACAAAAAACTAGTCACAGAGATGAGCAAGGGGAATGGAAAAGCCTGAGAGACCCAAAGACACCAATGTTCAGAAGCCAAATTCTGTAATGATGACAGGGAAGCATGTAGCGAGACCTGTAAGACTGTCTGCTTTGTATAAAACGTCATGTTCAGAACTCCCAGGTGGAACAGCATGTACCATGTGTGTAGATAAAAGCTACTTGCCCAAGCTTTGCAGGAGAAGAGGTTTAGTGATTTCTTGAGATTCTAAAGCAATCCTTTGCATGTGTGTGTGCCTACCCATGCTTAGCATGATGGAGAGGCTCTGAGAGATGTGCTGTGATAACATGTACTTTAGCCAATATAGAAAAGCAAAAGCTTTGGAGGAGTTCTCACCCTGAGCATCTCTAGAATTCTCAAACTCTGTGAGACAATGGAGCTGATGTGTAGAGAAATCAGTGCATTTTTGAAAATAGGTAAAATCAACGTAGGGAAAGATGGGAAGGAGTTGAAATGACAGGATGCCAAAGGTAACTGGAAAAGGATATATTTGACCCAAGTGTGGTGGGCACAGATGTAATCCCAGCACTCATAGATTCAAGGACAGCCTGATCTCCATAGAAAGTTCCAGGCCAGCCAGTAAACACATAAAAATACCATAATGATAATAGCTAAGTGATTCTCTTCTTATTGGAAGGTTTAAAAGGAGCTACTGTAGAGCTATTTCAGCACACTCTCTCTTTTTTTGCTAACATGGTATGATGGAGGAAGGTCATTGGCTAATAAAGGCACTGCCCTGGCCCATTTTATTGGTTAGAGGATAGGTGGGAGGAGTAAACAGAACAAAATGCTGGGAGGAAGAGGAAGTGAGGTCAGAGACTCCACCGCTCTGCTCTCGGGAGCAGGCGCCTCAGGGAGATGCCATACTCCCAGCTCCCAGGCAGACACACGCCATGAAGCTCGACCCAGGATGGACTAGGCTAGAATCTTCCCGGTAAGACCGGTGCTCACTGATTATTAGAGATGGGTTGATCGGGATATCAGAATTAGCCAGTAAGGGCTAGGGCAGAAGGGCCAAGCAGTGATTAAAAGAATACAGTTTGTGTGTTGTTATTTCGGAGCATAAGCTAGCCATGTGGGCGGCCGGGTGTGGGGGACGCAGCCCTGCCGCCCCATATTACTACATATGGCGCCCACGTGGACAACTGCTTCCACATAAAGCCTGAGACAGCTTGGGAAGTAATTCTAGAACAAAATGAAAGCATTGTGCCTGGTTTCTAGGTAGCAACAATTTCTCGGTTCTACTCTGCCTGCTAGAGGCAAGAAAGCACCTCATCTAAGAGAGGCTTCCTGACTCAGCTTTAGCTGCAAAGCCTGCAGCTCATTAAGAGGTCCTGCCACGAAACACTTAAATGGTGTTGACGAAAAGCTGAACGCATGCTTTTCGGTCTTCAGCCGTAGCAGGAAAAAAGCTGAACCGTTTAAAAATGCCAGCTTTCTGGGCTGTCCTGCCACGGCAAACTCTGACTCTTTTATGCAGGCGGTTCGTGCGGTTTGCAAGCACAGGCACCTCAGCCATGAGGACAGAAAGCTAAGGAATGGGCTACATCTAGCCAGCAAAGCCACGCCTTTAATCCTACTGATATTGCTTGCTAAATTAAAGACTCGTGTGGTCAGAAAAAGAGAGATATACAGTAAAGAGAGATTCAAAGACAGAGAAAATTTCTGAATGGTTTAAAGTGTGTTAAAAATATATGCAGACTAAAAGTTGAAGTTCTTAAAGTAAAAAACATAAAAAAAAAAGGAAGAGAGTTGTTGGGTGTGGTAGCACACGCCTTTAATCCCAGTTCCTTGAAGGCAGAGGCAAACAGATCTCTGTGAGTTCAAGGTGTAGTAGCTTACACCTTTAATCCAATGCCTGGGAGGCAGAGACAGGCAGATCTCTGAGAGTTCAAAGACAGCCTGGTCTAGAGAGTTACTTCAGGTCAAAGATACAGAGAACCTGTCTCAAAAAACAAAGAGTTAAAAGTAAAAATAAACTAAATAGAGGTTAAAACAAAGCTGCACAAAGATGGAAAATACACAGAGACTTTTGATACTGTATGCTATTATGCTCTCTTTGAATTGTTTAAATGCTGAGGAAGGAGCAACAGATGCTAAAAGATATTTATTGATAAATGCTGCTGAACTAATCCGACATAGATATTTTGATGCCTTAACTTTGAAATTTGGATCTAAGGACATGATGCTTTGGAAAGGAGTTTCTTATTTTGTTTTCACAGAGGATGAGACGCTGTTCATTTCTTCTATTCCGATTTGGTATGATGGACCACGCCCTCCTGAAGGGTTGCAGTGAACATCTTCAGAAAATTGCTTCGCTCAACTGCCAACTGAGATGAAACTAGCACACAGGTTATACCATGAAAGACCTAATTAACGACGCCCCCATTCAGCAGGAAGCAGTTTGGAGAGAAAAAACTGCGCCCATGTTCCCAAATATGGTTTATAAACGTTCTTTTACATTTAAAGGGGGATATGATATAGATATGAATAATTTACATTAGTATAGATTTTGCTTTATTGATAGAGATTTAAGGCCAATTTTGTTATATGTATAAGTGTTTCTGATTTTGATTAAGGTATTGTGATTGTGTAGTTCATTTAAATACGTACTGTATAATTAAGAAATATAGGTTGTTAATGGATAATCATCGATAATAGTAAAGCTTGTAGTCATGTGAGTTAGATTTTCTAGATATATAGAGATATATTTTAGATAGACATTCTTCATGTCTTTCTAAGAATAGGACTTTTCATGACAATGAGACACTCTGCTCCTGGCAGCACCAATCTACTTCAAGAGGAAGATGGGCATCGAAGAGGATGCTTATGGAGTTTGATAGCCATTTGGGCAAGAAACTGCTCTTGCCTGGACTATTGCATAAACTGGACACAGAGAACCCGCAGAGAGAGGACTACTGAACTTGCCTAAGGTGAGATGATCTTTCGGGGTTCCTGATTCATGAAAGAGTCTGCGAGACATTCTGCAGGACACAACAGATAGTGACTGAATTGACTTTGAATTTTCCTGCTTTATGGAAATGTCTGCTGGATACCATGGGCCTAAAGGCTGAAGATGGATGCCCCAACGGTACAGAGGAACTTTGGGTGACTGTCCAGGCAGCGAGATGTCTCTGTCATTTCTAGAGTTTTAAAAGTTGCTTTTTTTTTCTTGTTTGCTTAGGTAGTATTGTATCTTTCTGGAGTCTTTGATGGAGTTAAGAATAGTTAGTTATAGTTATAGTTTTCCTTAGTTATGATAAAGATTATTGTAACTTTTACTTGATAACTGTTTTGTTATATGTAATTTTGCTATGTTAAAGTTAAAGCTTTTTTTTTGTTTAAACCGAAAAAGGGGAAATGATGGAGGAAGGTCATTGGCTAATAAAGGCACTGCCCTGGCCCATTTTATTGGTTAGAGGATAGGTGGGAGGAGTAAACAGAACAAAATGCTGGGAGGAAGAGGAAGTGAGGTCAGAGACTCCACCGCTCTGCTCTCGGGAGCAGGCGCCTCAGGGAGATGCCATACTCCCAGCTCCCAGGCAGACACACGCCATGAAGCTCGACCCAGGATGGACTAGGCTAGAATCTTCCCGGTAAGACCGGTGCTCACTGATTATTAGAGATGGGTTGATCGGGATATCAGAATTAGCCAGTAAGGGCTAGGGCAGAAGGGCCAAGCAGTGATTAAAAGAATACAGTTTGTGTGTTGTTATTTCGGAGCATAAGCTAGCCATGTGGGCGGCCGGGTGTGGGGGACGCAGCCCTGCCGCCCCATATTACTACAATGGTAGGTTTTATAATGTGTTTATTTTGCACTGGAAAACAGAAAATGGAAACTACTTCATAAAATATTACATTTTATAAACTGTTAAAAGTTATCCCAAACCAAAAAACTAAGGGACATAGTCACTGTCTTGTTACAAATAAATTGATTAGTAAAACTCAGAGACTCTCAGAAGGTTTATGGAAATGAATTTTAAAATCCAGTTCTCTCAGTTAATGCAGAGTCAATTTGATGAGTCATTATGTTGAGTAAAACACTTGATTTGATTTGAAATATATTTCTATGTTTTAGAAAACAAGCTCAGAAGCCAATGTTATTTGTGAAAAACAGACTATGAGAGCAGTGCCTACCAAGGAGTAAATAAATCTAACATCAAAATTTAAAAAAAATTATATTGTGTATATGTGCATATATGTTAATGCAGTCACACAGGGGACCCAGAATACTTGCAGAATTTAGGGCAACTTTGGAAGTTGGTTCCTCTTGTCTTCTGCCTTGTGAACACAAGGTGTCCTGTGTATCTGGTAACATGCACAATATCCTCAGAAATTTAGTGCGTGAGCTTAAAGCTGACTTTCCCATCTCCACCACCCAGGCCTCTAGCCTCTAGCCTGGTACTGTAGGAATACTGAAATTACCATGCACACACCACAGCATGTGGCTTCCTACATGAATATGGAGATTCAAACTTGGGTTCCCTGGCTTGCTTAGTTTACCCATTGAGCTATCCTCAGACTCAGATATACTTCCCTGTCATTGTAGGAAGAAATAGATGAAGTCAAGCCCTCCTGAATGTCTCTGAAATAATAGTTGGCTAAACATTCTTTTCATACAAGATTAAAAAAAATAAAAGCTTGTAGATATAGACGTGAGATCTTGGGTTGGTGTAATTTAAGTGTGTGTGAGGCTTGTGCTGATCACCCTGCATGCAGGAGAACAAGGTGAGAG